CAGTGTTCTTGCATTGATCAGAACCCATGTGGTTCCTGCGGTATGTTTTCTGAGGCACGACCTCTCTACAACGTTGGCATAAATGTAACTTGCTTGTTTTTCAGTAGATTCCTGAAAGCCTCAGTATTATTAGAGAAGAATCCCCCTGGGGTCACGCTGGGTATCTTTGGTAGAGAAAACAAGATTTACTGAGAAAAGTCCAGTGTAAACCAGATTTGTGTATGTGTGTATGTATGCATATTTGTGTGTGTGCGTGTGTTTTGGGGGAAGGGCAGAGGTAAATTTCCTTGGGAGTTGCTGGACAATTAGAATTTGTTCTCTTGGACCTTCTCTTATACTAATCTTCCTGAATCTAGGCAGATTTAGTTAAGATTTTCTGTGCTCTCTCCTTTGGCTTGATGTTCAGTTCAGAATCAGATGGTGGGTTTGGCAGTTCCTCAAAAAGTTAAATCCAGAGTTACCACAGGACCCAGCAATTCCGCTCCTAGGTACATACTCAAGAGAATTAAAAACATATGTTCAGCCCAGCCGGGCGTGGCTCAGTGGTTGAGTGTTTGACCTAGGATCCAGGCGATCAGGGTTTGATTCCTGGTCAGGGCACATGCCTGCGTTTTGGGCTCGATCCCCAGTTGGGGGCGTGCAGGAGGCAGCCGATCAACGACTCTCTCATCATTGATGTTTCTATCTCTCTCTCCCTCTCCTTTCCTCTCTCTGAAATCAATAAAGATATATTTTTAAAAAACCCCATATATGTTCACAGAAAAACTTGTGCATGAGTGCTCATAGCAGCTCTATTCACAACAGCCAAAAGGTGGAAACAACCCAAATGCGCATCGGCTGATAGATGGATAAACAAAATGGTGTCTCCATACAGTGGAATATTAATCTTAAAAAGGAATGAAATACTGATACATGCTACAGCTTGGGTGAATCTTGAAAACATTATGTTAAGTGAAAGAAACCAGACAAAAGGCATGGAATGGGCAGATCTGTAGAGACAGACAGAAGATTAGTGGTTGCCAGGGCCACAGCGGCGATTAGTGGTTGCCAGGCCCACTAGGGAGTGACTGCTATGGGTGTGGGTTTGTTTCGTTTTTTTCCTTTAGGGTAATGAACATGTTCTGGTATTAAACCGTGGGGATGGTTGTACAACTTTATGAGTGTACTAGGAACCCCTGAATTGTACACTTTAAAGTAGTGAATTTTATATGAATAATATTTCATTTTAAAAAATTAGACGGTAGGAGGTCTGCCCTGTTTTAAAGATTTTATTATTTCTGTAAAAATGACACAATTTAAAAATATTCAGACAACACCTAAACAAAGCTCAAAGAAGAAAGTGAAAACATCATCTGGGACCACTGTGAGCATTTTTTTTAGAGTGCCGACCTATCAGACTGTGAGGATTGAACTTGGGGAAGTTAGTGACTTTCTTTCCAAAATGGGAAGAACAACTCCCACCTGTTCAATGCACAGATATAGGTAAAAGTGCAGTGAATGCTAGCTGTTGTGATCATTACATGTATGTGTATATATGTAGCTAGGTACGCTTGTCTGATTGCCTGTAAGTAGGATTAGGCTGTTCTATTACCTTTTTCATGGATAAAGTTTCTTTTTTAAGGGCTTTATTTTTTAGAATAGTTTTAGTTCACAGCAAAATTGAGGGGAAGGGTCAGAGGTTTTTCATATACCCCTTGTCCTCACACGCACGTGGCCTCCCCCATTATCAACAGTCCCCACCAGAGTGGTGAACCTGCTACAGATGATGAACATGCATTGACACAATCACCCAAAGACCATAATTTACATTAAGATTCGCTCTTGGTCTTGTACATTCTATGGGTGGGGACAAATCATGGACAGACTTTTCATGTAAAAATTATCCGCTCCAAAAATGAATGGCTCCAGAATATCACCCATTGTATGGGTGTATAACAGTGTATCCTGTAGTCTTCCACTGATGGAGTCTTCCATTGATGAGGCTGCGTTAGAACATATAGTTCAACATCGTCAATTGCGCATGTGCTTTTTGAGCACCTGCAGGGTATGTGGCTGGGAAGCAGGTCTATGGCTTAAGTCCGTGGTTTAGGTAACTGGCAAAGTGGGTCACCGCCGAGCAGAGGGGAGTTCAGCTGTCCTCACGGGTCAAGCAAGAATTGGCACTGGGCCCTGGCCGGGTGGTCGGTTCGTTGGAGCGTTACGCTGTACACCAAAAGGTTGTGGGTTTGATTTCTGGTCAGGGCACATACCTAGGTTGCGGATTCGATCCTCGGTTGGGGCGAGTATGGGAGGCAAGAGATCAATATTTCTCTCTCACATTGATGTTTCTCTCCCCCTTCCTCTCTCTCTAAAATCAGTAAACATACCCTCAGGAGAGGATAAAGAAAAAATAAAGAATTGGCACTGGAAAAGCCAAGGAAGAGTAGGCGTGTGCAAGAGTATTGGGTAAGGGAGGCTGCTGAGGAGGAAGGGTGGAATTGGCTGGAGAGCCACCTGCCCACCATTCCCCAAGTGGGAGTGTTAGAGGTCAGTAGAGGAGAGAGAAGAACAGATTCTAGGAGAGGCTTCAGGCCCTCCCCTCAGTCAGCCCCTCATTGGCCTGGGTGTGCCCTCAGGCCCCAGGTCCCCCACTGGAACTCCAGAGAAGCACTTTGCCTTCATTGAGGGTGTGCCTGGTTGAGTAGGCCAGGGTTTGCCCTTTGGGGAAGCCCGCTGATCCTGGGTCAGTTCACTGCCCCCAGGCCTTACTGGGCTAACTTTCCTTCCCAGGAGAGTAAGGGGCCCAGGGCAGGCCTGGTGGTTAGAACTGGTGAGCATGTGGACCAGAACACTGCCCTGGTGTGACAGGCACTCTACCCTGTGTGTGCTGGCCCCTGTCACCTGCCCTCCTAGCCAACCCACCTTGTTCCCTGAACATGTCTTAAGCCCTCCTTTCTGCCACTGGACTTCTTGGCCCAAGCTAGGTCCTCTGTGGAGAAGGTACTTGGCCCCAGGTATTTCCTAAGGCTCCTCCTTAAGCTTCCTTGGGTGGTCCAGTGTGACCTGACCCATGTGGACTCCCTCTCTCCAACAAGCTGTGTAGCTTCTCAGGGTGTGTGCCCAGCCAGCTTGGAAGTGGAGCTCTGGGTTTTTCCCTGACCTCCTTGCTGGCTGCTGGACCCAAAAGCAGGTTGGCACAGAGGGAGCCCTGCTGAGAGCAGCAGGTGAAACATACCCCTTCCATAGCCTGCCTCACTGCCTGCCACATTCCCAGCCTCTGTTGAGCTCCTGGTGTTTACTCCTGACCTCTGGCTGGGCCCCTGTGCCCTCTCAGGTTTTAGCCCCCAGGAGACATTCTCCTTCTGGCCCAGTTGGCAGATTCAGCCTGACTGGGGGGCGGGGGCGGGGAGCGCCTCTGGACAACCTTTCTGAGCGCCTGGAGCCGTGAAGGTGGCACTGCCTGCTGGGGACTCGTCCTTGTTCCAGCCCTGCTGAGGGCTGTTTCCTCATCTGTAAATGGGTAGAATGCACAAGCCTCAAGGAGGTGGGGACCATTTAGCCACTGAGAAACAAAGTTAAACCCCCTCCAACCTTCTCTGCCAGATCTTCCTCCCCCACCGTGTTCTCCCACCCCCACCATGTTCTCCCTCCCTCAGCAGATCCTCCCTCCCTCACTACATTTTCCCTCCTCCAGGGGAGAAATTAGGCAGTGGGCATCTGAATACCAACGAGAACGGTGCTTGAAGGTCCAACCATAAGCTGCCCCCATACGTGTGGGGACCATCTTGGGGGCCACCATGTCTTGGAAACCTTTGTGTGCAAGGACATCTTAGGGTACTCATTATAGGGGATAAGTGGAGGCCTAAAGAGGAGAGGGGTTGTGCAGTAGGCCACACAGGGTGCAGGATAGAGTGGTGGTCTTCTAGCTGCTGCGGTGCCGCTGCCTGAGAGGGTCCCCGATGGGCTGGAACACGCTTCCTCCTCAAGCCTTTGGGCAGCTTGCTGTCCGTCCTTCAAGGATGACCTGAGCCCACTTCCTCCTTCCTCACCACCCCCTGTGCCCCCCGTGAACTGCCCGTCCCTGAAGCCCACAGCCGCTGCTGGGCCTCTCTTGCTGTTTTCTGTGCAGTGTAAGCTTTGTGTCATCCTTCAGCGTCTCTCCTTGGCAGCCTGGTTTATTTCTGCCTCTCAGAGCCGGGCACAGGCAAGGAAGAAGTTCAGTCACCAGTTGCCTCTAGCCCACGTTCCCAACAACCCCTCCCTGCTCCCAGGGTCTCAGCAGTAGTCGAGATTGCTCCTCACATAGCTGGGCTCCACGCTGGAGACCCTGAGGCCCTGCACCGTGAGCATCCTCTGGGGTTAAGCTGGGCTGGGGCAGGCCTCTGACTGCAGGCCCGGGCCAGCCTCTCAGCCCTCGAAAGGGACAGACTGGGATGCACCAGATGACCTGGGCTCCTTGGAGGCTAGCCTGGCAGGTAGCTTCCCAGGCTGGCTGGAGGAGCCCAGGAAGCTGCCTCGTCTTCCTTTTCCCTCTGTGCTCGGCAGTCCCACTCTAGTGACCCAGCCCAATGCTGTCCTCTGCCTCAAATGTCCGCCAGTGTCCAGCTCAGGGCCAAGGGTTTTGAATTTCAGCTCCTCAGGAACTCAACCAAAGTTTGTTCAGTTTGCTGGGCACCTGTCCAGCTGTACCAGTCCATGTGTGAGCCTGAGCCTGGGGCACACTTGGTCTGCAGTCCTGGCCCTCCACCCTCTGCAGACACTGTCATCGGTGGCAGCTCCCCTGTCTGTGGGGTCAAGCGAGACCTTGCTCCCCGCCCCCCCGGAGCCTGCATGATCAGCACTGCTCCCCACCATCTTTCTTACCAGCGAGCATTCCTTCTACATCTTTAACCAGCACTCTTTCTCCTCACAGCAGACGTTTCTTCTTGCCCCATGCCTCCTGGAGGATGTCGCCCAGCAGTTCCAGTGTATATCCACTGGCCCAGGAATGCTCAGGGGAATGACCTGCCCACTGCAGGCCTCTCCTCCCCACCCCACTGTCATGGCCTCGGTCACACTGCCTCCTGTTTTGCAGGTTGATCGTGATAACCTGTCCATTTATCTCCTTAGACTTGGGGCTCAAGCTGATGACCTGTGAGTGGGCAGAATCTGGTCATAGTGTTTGCTTAGTGTGGGGCTTAAAGAATTTTGTTTAGTTCCTCTGATGCTCACAGTTCCCTGCAGGTGTGCCCAACATTCCTGTTACTATGCATCTGACCAGCTTCCCATGTACATGCCCGTGTCCTCCAGCTGGCCCTTTCAGTTTGTCAGCCTCTCCTTTACAAGGACAGGGGCTGTATCTGTCTGTCTGTCTGTCTGTCTTTGACCCCAGGATCCATGGCACAGGGCGCTCTGAAGAGCAAGTGTTCATTTAAGTTATGTTGATGAGTAAGCAAATACACTGAGTGGGACAAAAGTGCAGAACAGTTTAATGTGCGCAAAAACAGTTATGATCGTAGGTGCACAGAATATCTCTGAAGGATTCATATAAGCTTGGTAACAGTGATGCGGTGGAGAATGGAACTGGGTGGTTGGGCGATGGGTTGGAATCATGATACCCCTGTTCTTTGGAATTCAGGTTTTACAATTAAAATCTTAATAATGATGACATTAATGTAAAAGATCAAGTCTTGGCATTTGAGACCTTTCTTGCTGTGGGCTCATCTCTGTCCTCCCAGCCTTGAGCCGCCTCTAACTCTGATATGGTCTCTCCTCTATTCCTGCAGTGCCTGGTTTGAGATGGGGTCCCAGGTCTCCATGGAAGTGAGAGGTGTGCATGTGGTGATCGTAGGTGGAGGCTTTGGTGGGATTGCAGCCGCCAGCCAGTTGCAGGCACTGAATGTCTCCTTCACGCTGGTGGACATGAAGGACTCCTTCCACCACAACGTGGCAGCCCTCCGGGCCTCCGTGGAGAGTGGTAACAGGCTCCTTTCTGGGACTTTCTTGGTGGGAGTGGGCTTTTCATGCTGTGGGGGTGGGGGTGGTCTTCTCAGCTTAGGGTGAGGTGCCTAAATTCTACCACTAGACAAATTCTGGAGAATCTTAAGGTTACTGGCCTTAAGCAGCTTCCATATCAAGGCCCCAGAAGAGCCTGAGCTTCCTTGAACACCCGAGGCCCAGACTGGCACCTTAGGGGATAGTGGGTACCTCGGGTATACCACTGGCCCGGCTGTTTGGGCAGAGGTACCCCTGTTGGTATGTAGCTCAGGAGAGGTTCTGAGTTATTCTGGCTTCCTGTGGGGCACCCAGTTTTACACTGTGATCTCCTCTGTGTCCGTTCCCCAGGGTTTGCCAAAAAGACATTCATTTCCTACTCGAAGAGCTTCAAGGATAGCTTCCGGCAGGGTCGGGTGGTTGAGATCGATCTAAAGCATCAGAAGGTGCTGCTGGAGCATGGTGAGGTGAGCAAGGGCTGCCAGGATGCCCTTGGGGGGAGACCTGGGCAGGTTGCCTCAAGAGTGGAGCACCGCCTCTGGCCCCCAAGCCCTGTCTGGTGCTGATAGCAGCTTTCTCATAAGCAGAGGCCTGACTACAGCAGCCACAAGAGTGGTGGCAGACATTTCATGAGCCTTCCCTGTATGCCGGGCATTGTCTTCAGCCCTCCATAGTCTCATTTAACTCCCACCATGACTCTGAGGGAGGTGGTGTAGCCTCATTTTACAGAGGATAAGTGGCTTGCCCAGGATCCCACAGCTGGGAAGAGATTCAGCTGGGACTTGACCTCAGGCAGTTTCACCCCAGAGCCCATGCTCTGAAAGCCACTGTCCTGGACCAGCCCCAGGCCTGGCCAGCCAAGAGGGCCTCCTCACCTGCTAGAATGAAAGGCTTAGGCACGTCCAGGACCCATGTCTCTGGATTGGGAGGTCATGGGGGCAGAGGTTTTCTTCATTCCTTGAGTTCCTCAGCCCGGTATATAGCGCGGTACCTGGTACACACCTGCAGCGACACGAGCTCCACCCATGAGCAGCCACTAGCCCACTCGTCATGTTGAGAGTTACCTCCAGCCTTCCCCTCTGCTGTAGTCAAAGTTAAAGGGGGATTAGAAAAAGGGGACATAATTTTCTGTTCTCAATGAGTATGTGATTTAGTGTGGATCAGTCCTCCTTGAATTGATTTTAAGGCTGGGAATCTCTCAGTTGGAAAGATTGCTGAGAGTCTCCTTGTTCTGTGGTTTTGGGCCAAACTTTTCAGAGCCCTGGAAGGGTCCATGCGGGCATCTCAGGCCTCCACAGGAAGTGGGGGCTGAGTGGGACACAGACCTCCCGCTCCCGGTCTTCCTCCCATCAGAGCAGCACTGATTTTGTCAACTTGATATATGTAGGCTGCAAACAGGACCTGTCCTCTCCCTTCTTTCCTTTCTGTCTTTGTGGGCACAGGGGGTAGTTTTGTCTAAAATGCCTAGGAGAGCCTGAGCTAGTTCCATGTCAGAAGCTGGAATCCTGCTTATTTCCCACAAGTAGTTTCCTGTTTCCTGCTTACCTGCCTCCCACTGCAGGGAGCTCACCCCTCTCATTTCCATGTTGGGTGGCTCTGGGAGGAAGTAAATCTGCTTCCTTAGGTATTCTAGTGCTGGATTCTAGTGCTGTCCCTTGGCCTAACCATGTGATGGTTTTGCTCCCCTCCAAGGAGGGCTCCCTCAGAAAGACCAGAGGGCCTCACTACCAGGTGCTCCTTGCCCTGTGGGCCTAGAGTTGGATGAAGAACCCAAGCCTGTCCTCACCCTTCTTTTCCTTGCCCCTCACAGGCACTGTCCTTCTCACATCTTATCCTGGCCACGGGTAGCACTGGGTTCTTCCCCGGCAAGTTGAACCAGATTTTCAGCCAGCAGGATGCCATTCAGGCCTATGAGGACATGGTGAAGCAGGTGAGCCACCCCCTGGCCAGGGGCCGGGCAATGAGAGCAGACTGGGTGGCCCCGGGAGAGCGGAACAGCTGTGGGGACAGTTGGGGCTGCAGTAAGGAGATCCTAGGAGGTGCTTGGCTGTGACAGTGGCTACAAAGATGGAGAGTTATTAGAGAGACTTTTGGGAGGGGACCTTTGGATCTGTCATCAAAGTCTGGACATGAACACCCAGACCTGCTCACGTAGTGGTTGGTGAGTACCCAGCTCCTCTCTCAGGGCTCCTGGCTGCACAGGGCCTTGTGATTTATAGAGCAGGCTTGGATCCATGACCTCAGCCAGCTTTCCCAGGGACCCTGAGAGATGGGTGGGATTGGGTCAGTCCCCTTTGAACTGATGAGGAGTGGAGATCAGAGGAAGATTGTTAGGTGAGTGCTGCTCCATGGTTCAGCCAGTCCTTTCCTTCTCTGCAAAGCTTCTGAGAAGCCAGGGAGAACAGACATTAGTGTATAGGTTAGGAGCCCGGCTTTGAACTCAGACAGATCTGGGCTTTAGTCATCTGAAGGGTGGGCAGGTATGATACCTGCCTTTTGGGGCTGTTGTGAGAATCAAATGAGAAAATGCAGGAAGACACCCAGCAAGTGCCATGCCCCAAGGAAGCACATTTGGACCCCAAATTTGGAGAGTTCTCTACTTTTTTGGCAAGCCCTCCCCCCAGTGCTGCCTAATGAGGCAGGGTGAATTTGAGGGCGCGCTTTCACATTTGCTTCTGCTCTAGGTCCAGCGCTCCCAGTCCATCGTGGTGGTGGGTGGAGGCTCTGCAGGAGTGGAGATGGCAGCGGAGATTAAAACAGAATACCCCGAGAAGGAGGTGGGCAAACGGCCTTGGCTTTGAGCTCTCAGTGGCTGGCTTCTTTCTGTGTTGTCTAAGGATAATCAGGAATCTGTTCAGGTCCTGGGTGGCAGAGCTCCCTTAACATAAAGTGGGAGCCTGGGGGCTCTCTGCACTGAGGGGTCCCCTAAAGTCCCTTTCTGCTGGGAATTTTTCTGGAGAACCAGGGTGTGTCCTAGTTCAGTGAGGGGTCCTGTCTTTGGTCCAACCAGGAAGATTAAGCCTAGGGGAGACACCTTACAAAAGATGAACTACTGTGTCCTAACACAAAGCGTCCCAGCTTTGTGATCTAAGCCGAGACTTTGATTGCCTCTTTTTGCTGACACCTAACTTGGTCAAAGGCACCCTTGGTTGGTTTTCTGTCTGGGGCAAGCTGTGGCTTTTTTGGTCTTTAAGAGAGGTAGCCCTTGCCCTGGACAGCCCCATGGGGAGCCAGCAGTGCAGCCTCTCATTAAGGACTGGCTGGCACTGCCTTCTGCCCACGGGAGGGTGTCCCTGTTCCCTTTTAATGATGGAGGGATAGAGCATCTGCCTGGCACCCTGGAGAGAACAAACACATCCTGGTAGCTGCAAGGGCTCAGCTGAGGGCTGAGTGATGATTGGTAATTATGGAGGCAAGAGCATGTTTGCAGCTGATGCCAGATCAGCCTCTGAGAGCCACATGGAGCCTGTGGCTGGTTCTTTTTCCCTTGGGAAAGGCACGTAGGTTTTGAAAAGTGAGATCGATATGGGCTAATTTAATTATACGGTTGTTCTCTGACAAATTGTTGGAAATTATTATGAGTAACTGACGTAAAAGTTCATTAATTTTGATTTATGGGGTAAAGACCAGTCTGAAGTAGGAAATGACTCAGTATAACTTCCGTATGTTTATGATTAATAGACAAATAAGAGTAATAGTAGCCACCGTGCTGAGTCATGTGCTTTATACACATGTGCTCACTTCATCATTACAACATTTCTCTGAGTGGGACTGTATCCCATCTTACTGAGTTGTCAGGCAGTGTCCGAGTGAGTATCCGAGATGGGATTTCAACCCAGGCTGTCTGATTTGAAAGTCCAAGCTTTAAACATCACTCCAGGCTGCCTCCCACTTTCCTGTGCTGACCCAGGCAGCAAGTAGACATGCCTGGAAGCTCCAATTTTAGAACCAGCTTTAATGTAAATGTGAGGTTGATTTACAGTTAGAATGTCAATGAGTTACATATATAGACTGTACAACCATAAGTGCCTGAGGATGCTTGAAAATAATTTTCCACGTGGTGCTCCGTGTGGTGATGGTGCGCTGGCACATCCTGAGCGTCCTAGACTAGGTGACGTGCATTCCAGCCCAGCTTGCTGTTAACTGGTTCCAGTGTTGGGCAAATTGCTTTACTTGGGCCTCAGTTCCCAAACCTGTAAACTGGAGGTAGGGGAGGAGGTGGGGGAGACAGACTGGTGTGTCTTAAGCCTCTTTTTGTGAGCAGAAGCCTCAGTGGCTCCTTCTATGTCCTATGGTTGTTTGTCCCCAGGTCACTCTTATTCACTCACAAATGGCCCTGGCTGACAAGGAGCTCCTGCCCTGCGTCCGGCAGGAAGCGAAGGAGATCCTGCTCCAGAAAGGGGTGCAGCTGCTTCTGAGTATGTGCCAGTTCCCCTCTGCCCTGCCCCTCTCCCTGGCCTGGTGAGATTGGGCTCAGAGACTTGGTCACTGCCCCCAGCTCTAGGGTGGCCATGCTCTGAGGCTTGGGTTGAGCATCAAAGCCCATTTGAGGCCTGCTGTCCAGTTGGAGGTTGTGTCTGTCCTCGGGCAGGGCAGAGGCCCTAGTACTTACGGGATTTCCATGTGACAGAGGTGGCACTGTCCTGGCTATGGGTTTGGATAAAGTGCACATGGTACTTATTTGTTGAATGATTTAAAAAAATCACCTAAAGGATTTGACCTGAATTATGATGTCTCTGTGGTGGAGAGAATAGGGTTGTTTGGTTTCTGTTTTGAGGGTGGTGAGGAGTGTGAGTTTTGTCCAGAGCAAGAGAGAAGAGAACCCCCCAGCGTGCTAGACAGTGGGGCTCTAACCCCAGTGGTGTCCTACATACTTCACAGGGCTCAGCCTCTTTGTTTTTTTCAGGGAGGTGTGAGGCATCTGCTCTGTGAAAGCCCGCCTTGGCTCTTGGTCTTCTTGTACCTGCCTTCCAGTACTGTGGTCATCTTTACTTTTAGGCAGAGGGGACTTTTAGGCAAGGGGCTGGCTCCTTGACTGTTCTTGCTTCACCTTTGTCGGTGTGTCTGGAGGGCTCATCCTGCCTGGTCAGGTTGGCATAGCTGACAGTCAGGGAGGCATGTTGGAGGTCTTCCTCGAATAGCTTTCCCCACAACTTGAAAAACTCAGCTCCAAACTGCATCTTGGAACTTCCCTTCCATTGTATCCCTTGGGGCCCGATATCCAGGTTATACTTCTTGGGGCAGCGAATGGACTGGGAGAAGAGCAGGGAGGTAAGTGGGGAGTGGAGTCATTGCCTACTTGAGCCACAGTGTCCAGGCCTTTCCTGGGGCCTTTATAGATTTCCAGATTTCCCCAGTTCAGCCTTGGCCCAGACCTTGGCCTTGATGACCCTCTGCCAGCCTCCTGGTCACAGACCTCCCTTGACAGGTGAGCGGGTGAGCAACCTGGCGGAGTTGCCTTTCAACCAGTATCGAGAGTGCATCAGTGTACAGACTGACAAAGGCACCGAGGTGGCCACCAACCTGGTGATTGTCTGCAATGGTATCAAGATCAACAGCTTTGCCTACCACAGTGCATTTGGTAAGTAGGAGGTGGAGCCATTGTCCTTTCCCCAGATTGTGTCCAAAAGGCCCCTCAGGCCTTTTCCCCAGGAATCAGCACCACCCTACCTTTTTCCTCCATCCCAGCAGCTCATTTGTGTCTTCTGAATGATGACTTCAAACTTTAAATTCAGGTTCAGGCTCACTTTTGCTGTCCTTTCCTCAGCTGTGATGATGACGACTTAGCCCAAGATGTCCAAAATGACGAGAATCTTCCAAAATTGGGGCTGCCCCCAAGGGGTGAGAGATGAGAACAGTTTTCAGAGAGCCAAAAAAGATCTATTTTCTGTTCCTTTCCTTGGGTCACAGGTGCAGAGGAAATTCTGGGGTCAAGCCTTTCTCTATTCACAGGTGTGCTGCTCCCCAAACCATGATCCAGATGTTTAGCCACTGGAGCTTGGAATGACCATTTGGGGAGTGGGAGCAGTATTGTGGCTTCATGTTCTTAAAGCTCAATATTGAACTGTCTAGCTAACTGAAACGTGGAGCAGGTGGACTGATGACCTCCATGTGTGAACTGGAGACTCAGTGGCTCCTTGTCATCCCTGTGATTGCTGTGTCCCCAGGTCCCCATCATTTATTCCTGAGTACCATTCCTGCATAGGGAGCTCCTACTTTGTGCTCTGCAGGAAAGACTTATCTGATCCCAGAGGAAGGAGGCTAGTCCAGGCCAGGCATGGGGGGTGGAATCAAGGGCATACAATGGACAGAGATCCCAAAAATTTAACACCTAATTGTTCTAATGTTATATTTCAAAGATAAACTCTTTTAAGTCCCTTAAAGTGAAAAAATGATCATTTATTAAAGCCCTGCATTTATTTTAAAAATCTGATCCACATTCAAAAGAAGATCCAAGACTTCGCAAGTTGTGAACTTAAGCACTGTCAGTCAGTCATGGTAACGTATCGAGTTATGCACATTACATACCATGACACTTGCTGTCTTTCTAACCACTTTCCACCCTGGAATAATAACCTTGCCTTTGCAGGAAGAATTCTAAAGCAGGGACTTCAAGCAGAAATTAGGTGGGAGGCTTGCCTCTGGAGGATGTGCCTTTGCAGGGTGGCTTGATCAGCACCAGAGCCACCCAGCACTGTTCTGGAGGCCACTTAACATGTCAGCTTAGCATCTTGGTTTTGCCTGGCAGATAGTCGACTGGCCAGCAATGGTGCCCTGAGGGTGAACGAGTACCTCCAGGTGGAGGGCTGCAGCCACATCTATGCCATCGGCGACTGTGCGGATGTGAAGGAGCCCAAGATGGCCTATCACGCCGGCCTCCATGCCAACATTGCTGTGGCCAACATCATCAACTCTATGAAACAAAGACCCCTCAAAGCCTATAAACCAGGTAAGGGAGCCTCACATGCTTCACAGTTTTAAGAGTTAGGGTTAGACATGGTGAAGCCTTTGAGGTGACTGATCCATTAGCACAAATTTTCTTTTTTTAAAAAACACGTATTTTTATTGATTTTGGGAGAGGGAGAGAAACATTGATGTGAGAGCAAAACATCAGTCAGCTGCCTCTGCAATCCCCCTACTGGGAATTTAGCCTGTAATCTGGGCATGCGCCCTGACTGGAAATCGAACCAGCAACCTTTCGGTGCATAGGACGATGCCCAGCCAACTGAGCTGTAGCAGCCAGGGCCAGGACAAGCTTTCAAAGCTGGCTATAGACACACTCTCTAGATTGCTTTAATAATTGGGAATTAATAAATAAATCTGAGAATTGCAGGCCCACAGATGGTGAGCAGGATTCTAGTTTGTGCCTCTGCTCCACAGGTGCACTGACGTTCCTCTTGGCCATGGGGAGAAATGACGGTGTGGGCCAGATCAGTGGCTTCTACGTGGGGCGGTTCATGGTCCGGCTGGCCAAGAGCCGGGACCTCTTTGTCTCCACAAGCTGGAAAACCATGCGGCAGTCTCCACCCTGATGAGGAGACTGGGCGGGAGACGAGGTACCACCATAGCCTGGTGAATGGATTGCTTGACAAGTGGTACCTGCCTGACAAATGCCAAAGGGCACTCTTTCTGGAGTAAGATGCCAGTGATGTACTCACCAGAGACACAACTTACAGAAAATCAAAAATGGAGAGGAGAGGAGAGGAGAGAGGGAAAGTGAGAGAGGACAAAGGGAGAGCGAGAGGAGAGGGAGAGTGAGAGAGGAGAGAGGGAGAGTGAGAGGAGAGGAAGTTAGAGAGAGAGAAAAAGAGAGAGAGATATACATTAAAAAGACACCTCCCCAGAGGGTTCCTTCTGGGTTTGGCAAGGCCTGCTTGCCATGTGCTGGCCAAATGCTTCGCTTGGTCCTGGGGAAGGCAAAGTGGCCTTCTCTGCCGTAGACTCCTCTTGGATGTGTGACCATGAGCACCTGGGGTGTGGCATTCAGAGCTCGGAATGGCGGGGGGGAGCTGGGTCTCCTGATGGCTGGTACCCTGTCTGTAAGGGCAGGAAGGAGGGCCTGCAAAGTGAGACCAGCAAAGGAAGGGGATCTGTACCCGTCTTACCCGTCGTTCAGAGAGGGGGAAGCACACGCATCCTGTAATACTGTGGTTGTTAATAGGAGCCTGATTTTAAACTGTTAGTCCCTACAGCCTTTAATCTTAATGAAACTTTCTATATTTCCATTTTTAGACCCTGATTATATATCATAGGTTACATTTAAGAAAAGATAAAAATATCCCTGTTGGTTAGTCCATTCTAACAGTGAGTTTTTACAAAGCTAACAGAAGTGAAGACCGAAACCAGGGCTGCCAGCCGCTGGAGGAGTTTAAGGACAGGCAGCCGAGCTATGTGACCTTTGGATGGGTCACTGGCTGGTGAACATTCAAGGAGCAGACGGGGGTCAGCAGGCGAACCCGTGTGCTTCCAGGTTGCTGTCAGGGGCAAATTTCTAAGTGACAAAACTGATGCTAGGGGACCCTTTGAGGTTTTGTGCTTCTGGTTTCTTGGCCAATCCTAATGTCACTTACCTGGAGACCCAGCCATGTGGCAATAATGCCTGCAAGCAGCTGGATTAAGGTACATACATGACTCCTCTACTTGGGAGAGAACTTCAATCTGGAGGAGCCAATATTGGACCATGTAAATTAACTCTCTACAGCAGAAGTGGTTGATGAATTCATCTGAATAAACTCAGGTTCTGCCCCTGCCCACCCTGTCCCTCCCTGCTTACTTTGGATGGTGGCTTCTGGATACTTGGCCAGAATCCCTGGACACCAGCCTCCCTGGGGCTGTCACTCCATCATGTCTGGGTTGTGGCCTGGGCCTAATGAAATATGCCTCTCTCCCAAAGCATGGCCGCCCCACTGGAGCTTCGCCCCAGGCTGCATTCTTGGGGACCAAGGCCAACTAGGTCCCCCTTCTGGAAGCAGGACCTGATGCCTGAGAAACACAGGCCAGTTGTGCTATCTGACCTGGGCCTAGCATGGCAGGAGTCAAAGCCCATTAGAGACAGGACTTGTTCCATTTATAACATTCTAGACGTGTCCACCACACCCACGGGGACGGTTTTCCAAACAGGAAAATGTTGCAATAAAAGAATATGTTGTAAGAAAGACACTGGATCTTTTATTTTTTTCTTTCATTTTCTTTTTCTTTAAAAAACAAAACAAAACAGAAAAAAGCCTGAAGCAAAACCTTTTTAGGAGTAGAGATATTATAGGGGTGCGGCGGGGGCACTAAAACAAGAGAAAGCACCGGTGAGATGCCTAAGTTTCTCCTCTCCGGCACTGAACACAGCCAGCCAGCAAAGCCCGGGTCACTCGGTTGCCATCCTTCCTTGCAAAAGGAGAAACAGAAGACTTAAGAATTTTGAAAGGATTTTCTTTGTGTGTGTAAAAGTCAATGCTATAAATCTAAAATGAAGTCTGTTTTTTTTAAAAAGTTCTAAAACAACAGGAAGAAAACACAAGGAAAGAACCCCTCGCGGAGACCTGGTTTTTGGGACTGAGGCTCTTTTTAAGGAGAATATAAAATGCAGAGGGCTCCTTCCGCGGGCGGGACCTGCTCCCGAGGCCGCCCAACACTCCCCTGGTCCCCCTTCCTCTCTCCTTTTGAAAAATAAAACCCGCTCCTGGGATGATCCTCCCGCAACTCCGGGCCGGCAGCGGCGGCTACTTGGTGTCGAGCTTGGCCATCTCCTGCACGTAGATGCCGATGCTCTCGCTGTCGAACAGCAGGAAGTAGACGTTCTTCAGTGAGGACGCGCTCGAGTCGTCGAAGTGGGCCGAGATGGCTTTGAGGGTCACCTGAGCGGCCGTCTGTTTGGGGAAGCAGTTTCTGTGCCAAAGAGAAAAAAGCCCATGTCACTTTGGTCCCCAGGACCATGGAATAACAGCCCGGGGTGAGGGCAATGCTGGCCCTTCTTATCTTGGCGCTGGGCCCTGGTTTCTATGGCATGGGGTCTCACCATGTGCAGGCTGGCCCACATAGGATCTCCTTTGATGCTAGTCAGAGGGACAGCCTGGGGGATGGGGGGGCGACAAGCAGGGGACTGGCATCCTCACATTACAGGTGCCACACTGGCTCAGAGGCACAGTGGTTTTAGCCAGGGTCATAGGGCTGGCCGGCGGGTGGCGCCCTGTGCTTGAATATGTAGCCTGACTTAAGCCAAACTTGGCTTTAAAAACTACCAATTCAGCATTTCAAATACCTGGTCTTTAGAAAAGCACATATAGTTTTCTTTTTTTTTGGCTGCCTCGAAACTGGTTTACATGGTAAATTGTTTATTAAAGGGAAAATACATGCTTAAAAGCTTGTCTTCATGATTCCTTTTCATGCACTTAATGTTCCTCTCATCAGCCCATATAGATGTGCTGTGTCATTTCAGCAGCAGTGACTCTGGGCTGGGCCCCAAGCACCAGGAAGCTGAGACAGCACTGTCTGCCAGGGCGAGCCATGGCACCAGCCTCTAGGGCCTAAGCCATTGTGGGCATGTGGGTCACCAAGCCCCCCTGGGTGATCCCAGGATAGGCCTGTCTAATGAATTCTGACTTATAGGTAGTGTCTGTCCAGAACATCATGGCATGTGGTCCGCTATGCAAAGAGTTCAGCCTGCAGCCTCTGGGCTGGGCTGGGCTTTGGAGACCAGCGCCTCTTGCTTAGGTTGGGATAGGATTACAGCAGCAGGAAGCTAGGCCTCTTATTTCCCTCTTAGCCTTCCCAGAACCCAGATTAACAGAATGTCTTTAGAGTGTAAGTCATATCTGTGTCATCAGGGCATCTCCCAAGAGACGAGTTCAAAATTAAGGCAATAACTTGCTTTGGCTCCAAGCGTGAAGAGAGGGGACATGCTGCATGTGAGGACAGATATCCTTGTTATTTACCCAAAATACTGTTCTCCCCCCCAGCTGGGGTCTCTGACAATTAGAACAGTCTGTTCTCCAACCCACCAAAAGCAAACCCTAGGTGACAGCCTCTCAGTTCTCTGGGTGTGCATGTCAGAGCCTCAGCCTTCTGGGCCTCCTGCCTCCCAGAGCCCAGGAGTCCCCTGGGGATTCTGAGGCAGTAGGCCTGGAGCGGGTCTGAGGTTCTGAATTCTAACACAGTGGGGTTGCTGCTGCTGAGCTGTGGACCACACTATGAGTAGCAGGGCCTTCAAAGCCTGGTGTTTTCTGATCACGTGTCCTAGACAGGGACAGCTGGTGGGAACCTGGCCTTCGAACTCTCAAAAAAGAAGTCTGCCTCTCGATACTCCCCGCTGCCCCCTCCGAGTGTTCTGAAGGATGGAAACTGGGTTTCTTGCCCTATTGCCCAGTCAGCATGCTTGGCTGCGCTGGCAGCCTTTGGTCATGTCATCTGGAACTGCCAGAGTGGAGGAGCACTGGGTCCCAGGGAGAAGGCTGGCCTCCAACCTCCCCTGCCCGCCCGCCTGGAGAGCGCCTCTCACCTGCCACTGGGGAAGGGTGGGAAGGCCACAGACTTTAGCTTCTTGTCCTCTGCCGCCGACAGGCAGTTTTTGATGGTCTCTTCGAGCTGCTCTTCACATTTGTCGGATCCCCACTGAGGGATGTGACAGTGGATGACAAATTTGGCTGCAAGTCCGCTGGTTTGGCTGACAGCGGCTGGGACATGGGAGAGAAACGCTGCAGGTTATGTCCTAGTCTCTACCTTTAACCAGGGGGTTAGGCTGAACCCCACATGTCCCTATGAGATGTGTGGGGGACAAGGAGGTGACAGAGAAGTTGGCCAGAAAGCATTCATTCCATGCTTTTGATGGGGACTACATTTACAGAGCAGGCGCTGTGCTGGAATTGCTCTGGATAGTCGGCACAAGCTTTTTTCAAGGCTGATGTGACAGCATGTGACTTTCATGTGGTCTGCCAACTAGTCACGAGGTGAGGCTGCCTACTTACCATGGTTCCTGATCGGAGGTACACACCAGAATCATCTGGGAGGCTGTAGGAGGCTGAGGAGTGGCCTCCCCACGTGTCCACGCCCTAACTCCTGGACCCTGTGAGTATTGCCTTGCATGGCATAAGGGGCTCTGCAGATGTGATTCAGTGAGCGATTTTGAGATGGGGACATAGTCCTTTTAAGAGGGAGGCAAGAAGGTCAAGGTGGGAGATGATGATGTGACAAAGCAGAGATGGGAGAGAGGCGTCCCGGAGCCAAGGAACATTGCAGCCGGGGATTGGCAGAGGCAAGGAACAGCCCCCCTGGGAAGGAACCAGCCCTGCCATCATCTTAAGTTTAGTTTTTTAAACACTGCTTGTGAACTTCTGACCTCCCGAACTCATGAGAATAAATCTGTGTTGTTTGAAGTCACAAAATTTGTGGTACTTTGTTACAGCAGTGATAGGAAGCTAATACAATGGCTTTTAGACTTTTAACAAGCAGATGTGCCTACCCCCCACCCCGAGATCCTGACTCAGCAGGTCTGCTGTGAGAGCCACTGCACTTGGCCATACACTCCCCCAGATAGTGACTGTCTTTCTGATCATCGCTGAGGAGCCTGCAGGGCGCAGGGAGCAGGCGTTCACACTGTTTGTGACATGTGCCCCAGGCCCAACATGTGCTCAACAAAATCACTCATCCTGGAAACCAGATTCCTTTCTCCCTCTGTCCTTGGAACACCGGTCAGTTTTCTGAGACTTGTCTCATTCCAGGACCATCTTCCTCATCTCCACCGCCACCTCCCACTCATCCCATCCAGCCTTCAGGCTGATTAGGACTCACTGTCAGCCCGGACTGAGCTGAGCTTTCAGAGAGAAGGTGCATTTGCTTCTGTGTCACCTGGGGACACTACCAAACCAAGGTCATGTCCCACTAACTTCCCGGCCTGAGGTGATTGGGCCACCCTGGACTTGGCTGCAAGTCTGCGGCAGTACTGGCTTATGGTTCAGATTCTCTAGTGAGGCTTTTCCCTCTTGGTCAACACAATGCCAAGGTCAAGGCACACACCTACTGCCCTCGGTGCTCAGTGGGTCCATGCCTTGCTTGCCCTTAAACTGAAGGTGTCCTGGCTTTACATGGGGTCTCCTACTAGATACCCATCTTGGAAATCTATTCTTTCTTAGTGGAATATAGAACAGGGCATATCTTACAAGTGGTGGTGTTTTTAAACTAAATGAAATACGATGTTAGAACTTGATGAACTGCCTCCCCATTCCAGACTCACCCTCGCCAGTCCCTTCTTCTCAGGGAAATCCCATCCCAGGCCATAGAGACTTGGACCTAACAGATCTGTACTGGTTTCTGAGCTCAGGACTGTGCTCTGCAGCCCTCTCCTGGGTTCACTCGTTTCTCACAGTGAGGCCTCCAGCAGTTCTTTCAGGGAGCAGCTGCGGATTTCTAACAACTCCTGAATGTCTGACATTGTGCATCCTTCGCCTTCCCTTTTGAATAATAACAAAGTAACCTGTGGAATTCTCCATCAACAGATTTCCCCCTCAGGGCTTGGAAGATATTTCTTTCCCATCTCCAGCATCCTTTGTTTCCGAGAAAAATCCGCTCTCAGGAGAACTGTCTACAAACCATCTGCCTTTCCTCTTGGGTTGCTTTTCAGGTTTCTCTTCAGTTTTGAACTTCTGAAGTGTCACCACGATTTTCATTGATTATACTCAACGTTTTCAACCTGAGGACTCATGGGTTTCATTCTGGAAATGTCTCAGCCATGATCTTTAAAAATCCTGCTTCTTGCCCAGTGGTTGAGCATCAACCCATGAACCAAGAGGTCACCAGTTTAATTTCTGCAAACTCTCCTATCCCTGCCCACATGAATATTTGTCTTATATTTCAGTGCGGTTCTGTCTTAAAATTTAAAAAAAGAAATTCTATCATTGCTATATGTATGGGGAATGGTATGTGCAGACTGTAAAGTGTGGATTCATGTTCTTTCTTGACTTGAAACCTCCATTACTTTTCCAGCGATCTGATCTGATCGTGACAGTCCCCGGCTTTAACTTTCAAAGGTGCCCCTCTCATCTACCAGGGTCTCCTTCTATCTGCTGCTCCCTGTTGGCTCATGACCAAGCCTTCCTACGCACAACGCCCTTAAGGCCATGATGACCTGCCCTCAAGTGGGTCTTATACCCTCACGGGGCCTCCCCTTCTCCCTCAAGCAGAGGGCGAGCGCTGCAGTCCTGTTCCCATCTGTCTGTGCCCCACTCTTGTGTGGGTGTCTTTCCTCCTAGGCTGTCCAGTGCTTGAGGGCAGGAGTGGGATTTATTGTCTTTAGAGCCTGAGCATCGGGGCAGCACCTGGCACTGACTAGACAGATGATCACTGCGGTGGCGTGGGTGGGGACACAGATCTGAAGTTGGACACACCCATCAAAAAAATTACCCAGTAGTCTCAAAAACAGGTGTTCAAACAAAAACTTGTGCACAAATGTTTCTAGCAGCTCTGTCCACAATAGCTAAAGGTGGAAACAACCCAGTGATGAATGGATAAACAAAATGGAATATTATTCAGCCATCAAAAGGAATGAAGTTCTGATATATGCTACATGATGAACCATGAAGAAACTATTATGTGAAAGAAGTCAGACGCAAAAGGTCACATATTGTAGGACTCCGTTTATATGACAAGTCCAGAAGAGGCAAATCCATAGGCACAGTGGTTACCAGGGACTGAGGGAAGAGAATGACTTAAAGTTACCCAGTAGCTCCAGGCCATTTTTGGGTGATCTGATGCAAATTCACTTGAACTATCCAGATACTTTATAGCCCCCAAAGCACATGAAATGATCTACCTAGTTTAGGATCTGGGCCGCTCAAACTAAAAACTAGCTTTCTGATCAGGCATGGCATCTTTTGCTTTGCACAGAGTATGTGGGAAGCATGCAATGCTGGAGAGGGAGGTGGCAAGGCTGTGCTGGGAATATGGGCCCAGTTCCACACTTACCTTCAGCGACTTCCAAAGGGCCTTGGGATTTGCGGAGCTCCTTTACCGTTTCCAAGAACTCTTTCCCCCCAGCCTTTTCCAAGGCTTTACCTGTGAAGGAGAACAAGCGGAAGCCACCACAGTTGCTCTTTTCAATGTCATTAATTACACTGCTTGACATACTTTTACTAGGCCAGAAAAAACAAACAAACGAACCATACCCAAAAAGTCAGAATAAAACTTTGCAACTGAAATCCTGGTTTGCCAGTGGTCACTCATGACAGGCGTCTCTGGCTTCTGTCCATCAGGACTTAGATTCTAACAAACACTTAAAGGACCTTTTCTGAGGAGGTGATGTGGCCATAAAGTGTCTCATGACATGAATCCTGAAGGTGGTGCTTTTGGGTTTTTTTAAATTGAGGTTCCAGTGTCCTGTTCTCTGGGCTCAGTACCTATTGTGTTGATTTAATTTGATGCCTTGATTTGATGGCAGCACCCTGTACCGGGGGCATCTCACTGACCCTCTTGTCACCAGCTTCTAAGCCTGGTTCCAGAGCCACCCTTGGGGATATAGCCACAATGGCCAGCCCAGGCCTGAAGTGACCGATGGTGCAGCAGAAACCTCTGGGTGGAGTACTGGGGTCTTGTTCCCCTCTCACCTCCATCAGTGTGCTGTAAGTCCTTGGCATCAAAGGACAGACAGGCCCAGACAGCCTGGAATGTTACTCCCCAATGTGGGCCTTGATTTTCAATGGAAAAATGCAGGTTTCTGCTGAGAGATCCTTCAAGTCTTTGATGTTAGGACAATTCCCTACTCAATATTTCAGGGTTGTGCTTGTATGACAAGCCAAGTAGAACCCCCGGGAGATGGCAGGACTCTACCTTCTGCTATTTTTGTGTATGCTTGACTTTTCTGCAATAGCAGACAATGTTTTAAAAAGGATAAATCAGGGTTTTATTTGCACTGGGTTATTGGTTCGGGTGATGCTAATGGAGAATGGAACATGATGAGAGGGACCCCTTCGAACGACACAGCAACAATAAGAAGACTCATTCATCAAATGCTTTTAAGCCCCGTACTGTGCTAAGCCCCATCCATGTGTTATGTTATTTGATCTTCACAGCACCCCCATGAGCCACAAACTACTGTTACCCTCACTGACAGGTGAGGGAACTGAGGTTCAGAGTGTTAAGAAACCTGGCCCGGCCGGTATGGCTCAGCCGTTGAGCATCGACTTATGATGCTGGTATTTCTTCCAATACCAGTGCTCTTTCTATTCTACCACCAACCCTGCCACTTAAAAAATTGGAATATCTTTATTGTTTTCCTAATACAAAAATGCAAACTATAGAAATGGTAAAATAGGACACTGCCGCCTACTGGGGATTGAGCCCGCAACCTGGACATGTGCCCTGACTGGGAATCAAACTGGCAACCTTTGGTGCACAGGACAATGCCCAACAACTGAACCACACCGGCCAGGGCTAAGATGGTGACCATTTAGTATGCTATTACTTCTTGTGCCCTTGACAGCTTACCTTCCCGAGCTTTCTGCCTAGCCTAGTAACATCTCCCGCCTTAAAGACAACTGACTTTTCCTAGATGTCCATTTCCTTTCTACCAATGGTGTTCTCAATACTTAAGCTTGAAATATATGTAGAGTTTTACCCCACACATGAACAGCAATGTTTATAGCAGTCTTACTCATTACCATCTAAACTGGAAACTACCCAAATGCCACCAAGGTAGAGCGGATCAACAACTTGTGGTATATTCCTACAGCGGAATACTATCCAGCAGATAAAAATGGACAGACTACAAACACACTCAACAATATGAATGGATTTCACAAACATAAAGTTGAACAAAAGGAGCCAGACACAAAAGACATACTGCATGGTTTCATTTTTATAAGCTCCAAGACAGATGACAGCATTTCTGCTGTTAGGAGACAAGATGGTGTTCATCCGCGGAGGGAATGGTGACCGGGACCAGGGAGGAGGGGGTTTCTGAGCTGCTGGAAGGTTCTGCTGCATAGTCAAGGTGCTGGTTACAGAGATGTACTCACTTTGAGAAAAATTCCCTGAGCTTTGCACTAATGATCTGTTTTTACGTAACACTTCAATAAAAGCTTCAAAAATATATGCAGATTTAAAACAAAATTAGCTACTCTCTAGTAATACTGCTCAGCTACACACAAAGGCAGAGTCTGGCACAGCACCCCAAGCAGGGGATATCCAGTTGACAATGACCCACCTCATGAGAACTTGCCCAAATAGTGGGCTATTCTATGGCACCTCTGCCAAAGTCTCAGGACCTTACCTATATCTTCTTTGAGGTCAATTTCGGCTGTGGTTGGGTGGACAATGCCCTCCACTCTCATGGAGCCAATATGGCTGATGTCACTCTGGGTCAGGGACAGCTGCATTAGGAAGAAAGATCGAGAGTGTGGAAAAGATGAAATCCTATTGAACATCTCCATATTTTACAGCATGTCTGTTAATTCAATTATTAATACTGAATGTCAATACAAAGGGCTGTACACGGAGCAACCGTCCCACGTTTCCCAGGTGTTTGGTTTTCAACAGGCTCTTTTGTGCTCAGTGGATTTGATTTTCGCTCTGTTAGCAGCAAGCAACAAATCTCTTCCTCCAGAAGCAGAAACGGGACCTCCCTTTTCCCTTTTCCTACACCCTATGCCTGCATTTCCCAATCCTGGCAGCCTTGCTGTTCGGTGACTTATTTTCTGAGTAGCTCTTGCAAGGGAAACCCAGGGCTTGCTCTCTCCTCTGCCTTCTCCCCAGAGCAGCACAGGCCTCTGGGGCAAGGATGCAAAGCTGATGACCTTGCCTGAGAGCAGGGACGGGCTCCAGGACTCTGACCTGCCTCTGTCGGGCCCCCTTGCCTTTAGGGAACCCCATTCCTGGGGCTACACTTGTGAAATGCTGCCCTATTATGCTCACACTTAGTGGGATGGAGGCATAATCCATTGTCTCCCCATGTGAGCAAGAACTTGGCGGTCCCCTCAGGAAGTGAGAGGAAGCTCATCACCATGGAAGTACGGACGGTCCCCAGCCCGCCTCTTTGCTTCCCGGCTTCCATCAGTGGTGAATTGGGAACCTGCCACATTCACACTCTTCCTGTGACACGCTCGTCCCAACTGCTTCATAGAGGTCCACACTATACTGTCAGGCTGCAAACATTCCTCTACCAGAGATACGATTAGCTCTTTCCTTGTGGATCTTATCTCAGCCCCAGTTGAGTTGACAGATAAATCACCTGCTTGGTAAACTCTGATGCTGTGGGAATGAATTAGTTGCATGTCTGCCTGGGCCGCCCTTGTGCTGCTGGAGACCGTTCAAATGTCTAGCCCTGTTTATTTCTTCCTGCAGTCGAGAAAGGCAGGCAGACTAAATTACTGGCAAATAATTCATCTTACACCAGGGGTTTTCAGGAAACATATCTCTATTTCCTTTCTTTGATAAATTACACTGAGCCATGGAGGGTGGGCCTCCCAGAGCCTGTCTGAGGAAGTTGGCTATAAGTTCGGGAGCACAGAAATAACCGGGGCATGGGCATTTCCAGCGAAGCCAGTAATGCCACTCTGTCTACTGCCCAGAGGGATTCTCCATGCTTACCTCTGGCTGACTAACATCAGCATGAAGAATTCCTAGCACTGAAGAGCTTGTTTACGCTTTAGTTTAAAACTGACTAATTCAAGACCTGAGTAAAAGTCAGATTAGGGGAGTCGGGGATGAAGGAGGCCTCGCTGCTTGTAAACAGCGGGTTATAAAAATGTAACCACGGCCTTGGCCTGGTGGCTCAGTTGCTTGGAGCATCACCCCACACACCAGCAGGTTTCGTGTTCGATTCCGCGTCAGGGCGCACACCGAGGTTGCAGGTTCGAGCCTCGGTTGGAGCACGTACAGGAGGCAACCGAGAGATGTTTCTCTCTCACATCGATGTTTGTCTCTCTCTCTCTCTCTCCCTCCCTTCCTCTCTCGAAAAGTCAATAAACATATCTTCAGGGAAGGACTAAAACAATGCAATCATGCTTTCCTACAGCACAGCGCAGTTAATTTTCTGTATTACCTTCTGCCCTAGAACAAGGCTCTTGGAAGACAAGATGGTGAATCCGTCCCCCGGCCCATCCTCAGAAGTGGAATTTGAAGTTCCTTCTTTATCACTGTCCTTTGGTTTGGACTGTGGAGAGAAATCAGAGGGACAGGTGGGAAATCATCTAGAAAAAGCTGAAAGTGGCTCGATAAAGCTCTTCCCTCGGCCGCCGCGGATGTGAAAGGCAGTGGCTATGCGCTGTGTTCTGCTCGTCTCCACGGAGGGAAGCAACGGACAATACCAGGGAAAGGAGAGGGCGCTGCTAAGAACACCGTTAAAGCCTTCACGGGCACCTGCGGCCCTCACTCAAGCCTGGACGCGGACACGTTATCCTTGCTCTTTTCAACGCCTGCAGCTTATGATGACAAGCATCAGAACCAAGTGGGGTGACTCTGGCACACTGCTCGCCCCCCACGCTCCCCGGGATTTCCGGGGGCCCCGAGGCAGCGCAGCGAGCTCTTATGTGCTGTCACGGGGTCGTGGAGTGGAGGTGACACCCTCTGAAGCTGCACTTCGCTGCCCAACAGAACTCCCTGTGATCATGGCAATGTGCTGCTCAGTGCGACTGAGCACTCAGCTGGTGCAACAGAGGAAGAATTTTTAAAATTTGACTAAGTTTTAATTAAATTAAATTCAACTGGAAATAGCCGCATGTGGCGAGCGGTTACTGTGCTGGGCAGCCTATGAAAGTTTTACTCAGTAAATGGCATCTCTGAGCTGTAGCTGCTTAGCGTATTGGGTTATCTGAAATACCTGAAATCCTGGTGGTTGGACTTAGGTGATTATCTAGGGAAGACTGGAGATATTTTAGTGGGCACCATGGAGCGCTGGGGAAATGAAACGCAGAGTTCCAGGCTATTAGCTCTCATGTAAGATTTCAGTGGGGGCAATGGAAGGGATTAGGAAGCATGAAAAACACCTACGCTTTGGGTTTGGAAAGGTCTAGTAGACCCTGCCTGCTGATCTGAGTTCATTCTTGTCATTTTCTCCCAGCACCAAGCTGTGGAGAGTCCTCAGTTATTTGGAGATGCAGCTACACCTTCACCTTTTGGTCGTTCAACCTTCCTCCTGTTTTGAGAGTCCCCGGCTCACAGATGCAACCTGGCTCACCTTTTTGGATGCCCGTGGTTTGGCAGCCTTGGATTTCTTGCCCCCTTTCTTGCCCGACGTGGCCTTCCTTCCTCTTTTCTCTGGAGGAGGGGAGAGGATAGTTTCCGATTTGCCTTTGGTCCCTCGCTTTTTGGCCAGCAGTTCAGGGTGGATTCTGGGCAGGACGCCTCCGCTCGCAATGGTCACTCCTTTTAACAGCTGAGGAGAGAAATGCATCAGTTCAGAGCTTGCTGATCCTGGATTTAATACAGTTCTAACTGCTGTCAAAACAAGGGCTAACTCTGGCCTTTGCTTTCCCCTCAAAACTGAATACACAGTCTGACTGGCTGTCCCTGTCTCGCTTGCAGAGTGTGTCTCTGCAGGTATCAAGGCCTCCCGTGATCTTGCGCAGAAAACAAAACAAGCAAAGTGAAATGAAAGGGCGTAGAGGTTGAAACCAGCAATGCTGCCCAGGGCTCTGGAATTCCAGAAGATAAAGAGCCTCAGGCGAGCAGAGAGCAGCTTGACAAAGTGAAGTTCAAAGGTCAAGGCTGGGGCGAGACCCAGTAAAGAGCAGACCAGCGGTCTCCACATTCCTTTGAGGAAAAGCTCTGGTCAGAATATATAACAGGATCTAGTCCAGATGCAATTTGATTCTGAAGCTGAATGATGTGGCTAGCCGAATTGGTTCTTCAATGGTATGATCTAAGTTTTTTGGCATGAATGTGCCTGGGCGGTGTAGAGGAATGATTTGCAGCAGCCGCGTTCATGTGCAGTAGCGTGCTTGGCAAACCATTCGACGGCAGGTGCCTGGGCGGCGGAGGTACCTGATTGAGCTCCTCATCATTGGCCACGGCCAGCAGGATGTGTCTTGGGGCTATCCGGGCCTTCTTGTTGTCCCTCGCGGCATTCCCAGCCAATTCTAGAATTTCCGCTGAAATTACAAGGGGGAGTTAATAGGCCGTCACAGAACGGGCTCTGAGCTTTCTAAAGCTTTTCTTTGGGAATGGTCTTTGAGTTTGATCACATTAGTTCGTGATTTTTATATCTGGGCCTGGAAAGAAATCTAGGAAGCTGAAAAGAATTCAGGTCACAGACAAGATATTTTAGCAAGACCTGATATAAGATCCTGGAACAACGTCTTCTAGTCTTCCCTTGACATTCATTCTTCCCTATCCTTTTTAGTATATTCACCTCTGATTTTTTTTTTTTTTGCTGAGCCCATATCCATAGGAAGGAATGAAGAAAGTTTTTCCCAACCTCCCTTGTCGATACGTGTGGTCGTGTGACGAAGCTCTTGCCAATGAGAAGCAAGCAGTCGTGTTGTATGTTACGCCTTCCTTTTCTGCAGTGGACCAAGGACCTATGGCTGGAGTTTAGCAACCATCTTTGACCAAGGGATGTGTTCTATAGATTTTTGTATGAGAGAAATAAACTCTTGTTTAAATCACTGTTGGCAGAAGTTAATCCTGACCAAAACAAAACCCTAACATAGGACCTGAGCTTCTTTCAGCCTACAGACAACAGGACATCACTGAAGGGAATAGTGATGTAGGTGACGCCTGCCTTTGGTACCCACTGGGACCCCTTTCAGAAGCTCCTTTCCCTCTCCACTTGGTGCCTCAAGTCCCTCCTGTCCTAAAGGAATGTGGGTGGGAAGGACTGACTTACACTGCGGGATGAGGCAATGCTTAACCCAAGAAGTGAATTCCTATGAGATGCCTATGAGATCTGCAAAGGGGGTGTGCTGGGGTCCAGGGGTTTCCCACATACCCCCAGAACCTAAGCACGGCTCTGAGTTTGGTAAATGAGGAAGAATTGATAGAAAGGAATTTTCCTAAAACTGCTTCACATGCTATCAGACTTTCTGAGTCAAGATTTTGACATCTACAGAATTGTTTTATACCATCTGTATGCTTTCTCCTTCCTCCTTTTATTATTTTTCTTTCTTCCTCAATTTTAGAAGGCCGTTCTGCTAAATCAAACTTGTCTGCCTGCAAAAGTATGAATGAGCCTATGAAGAAAAATTCCTTCCCTTGAAAGCTAAAGGCAATGTGCCAATGAGTTGTTTCACTAATGTGTGTGTGTGTGTGGGGGAGTGTATGTATGTGCAAATGTGCGTACTTTTGTTGTGTGATGTGTTTGTACAGGCGTGTGTGTGGTGGGGATTTGCTGGCACAATGTCATAAATACTAAACTCTGAAATTAATAGGTGTTTCTGTACATCTTTGCAATCAACCTAATTTCAAATAAAATAACACATGAAATTGCCATCATTTATAAAATCTATGGCAATAAAAAAAAACTTGGCATAAGTATGCCATATTAACTAAGCAAATGTAATTAACAAAAAATTAGAATAAAATAAGCATTAGAGTTAAATATTCATATGGCATTTCCATAATGAAAAGTACTAAATCACTGCAAATTCATCTTGCAACATCCTTTCCAGGTTATTAAGCAATGAATATTGTGTTTACCAACAATCCATTTATACAGTGGTCATGTTTTCTGAATCAAAGATTGGGGGGGCACTATAGTTTGAGAAGTATATTTGTTGGGACAATGGGACAGAGTATTTGAAATTAATGCCATATTAGGTCATCTGATTTGCTGCATTCAGACTGCTCCCCAACCCTTTATCTTAAAAAGTGTACCCATCCAAAATAAATGTAGTCATAAAGCTTTCACGAATAGGTTCTTGGTTAAAATGTGCAGCTCCCCACGGTTTGCAATAAAAGGGAGTTTCCTGCACTTGGTCATCTCAGGGGCCCCATGCCTGGAAGGAAGGCGAGCTTCACTCACCCTTTTTTTTCTAGATGGGTGTAAAGGCCAAGGGGCCTCCCAATTTTAAGCTTCTGAGCAATCAAATTTAATTTAGCATCTTGGACCATCACTCTCCTGCCTCTGTCACCTGCATTTAGAGGAAAAAGTTAAGCATCCTCCCAAATTCATTAACTTAGCCGTCAGCATGAGAAGCAGGGCTAATGGGAAGACCTACATGCTTGGAGCCTTCAAAAAGCCCCTGAAGGTCAGGTTATTTTCAGCTTGAGAGACAGATGCGCAGACGTGAGATTCACAGATGGGAAATCTGCCGGAATCTAATGCAGCACAGAAGGGGAGTAAAGGCAGCGATTCGGCAGATGGCACAAAGCAGGGCACAAGGTGAGGCTTGCGTGCGACTGAGCTCCCGGACTAGCCCTTCCAAAATCAGTTATAAGAAAGAAAACCTCGATCATGTGCTCTAGTGCAAAAGCAGAGGTGGAGCTTTCTTTTTCTTTAAAGAGGGAAACTTCTTAATGATACACAGAAGAAAATCTAGACCAAGGAGTTCTTTTCCCTGTGACTGTTTCATCTGAACATGCCTTGGGACAGGGACTTCACCATTTAAGTGTGTGAAATACCATTAATCATTCTTAATATTTTCAAATGCCGTTCTGACAAATGCATTCATGTGAACTATAAAATAAACATTAGAATTAAATATTTATATGGCATTTCCATAATGAAAAGGGCTACGTCACTGCAAATTCATTCTCACATCTTTTCCACGTTATAGTTGCTACATTCTTGAGTGATTTTATTGATCTTGGGAACATAAGTACCTTTCCATTGGCAATCAGTAGGAAAACTGGATTTATATAGCACTCATTTGTTTCACTGGAAATTCTGTGGGGAGATCATTATTCCGTTAAGTGGTGGAGACGCCTATAGCAGTTTATAGACTTCCACAGCAAACCTCTCACTTCTTGCAAGTCTCACTTCCAGCAATGGTAACCATCTGGAATGCAGCTGAGTATCTGGTAGTAAAAAAAATGATTTCTGGCCCGGCCGGACGTGGCTCAGTAGTTGAGCATCGACCTAGGATCCAGGAGATCTCGGTTCGATTCCTGGTCACTGCACATGCCCGGGTTGTGGGCTCGATCCCCAGTCGAGGGTGAGGAGGCGGCCCACCAATGACTCTCTCATCACTGATGCTTCTGTCTCTCTCTCTCTCCCTCTCCCTTCCTCTCTCTGAGATCAATAAAGGTATATTTAAAAGAAATTATTTCTGTAGCCAAAGGGATGTTGGAAAGCTCACCATGCACATTATTTCGGAAGAGCCTGTATCCTCTTATTTCGTATACAAAGCGAACCAACACGGGATATCCCAGCCCGCAAGAGATGGAAAATACCACACTAAATGGAGGGTTGGAACAGAGGGCAAGGAGTGGCCACCCCTTCAAGACTGTCTCCTTCTCTTGCACCTTCTTGCCTGTACCCTTGCTCACTAGGTGACGGTGCCCCCGGGGCTCCGTCTGGGCCCTTTACTCTGCTCAGGCCCTTTTGGGGGAACCCCATCCATTCGTGACTCCAGCTTCCACCTGCCTGCCCACGTGGTGAGATCTGCACCTCCAGCTCTGCTGTGATGTCACCTGGGACTCCTCACCTGGGCGTTCCACAGGTAAATCAAACCCCCCAAATCCAAATCACTCCCCTCCCAAACCTGCTCTTCCCAGCACCCTTGGGACTGGCAGCTCCACCCACACAGACCTAGGAGTCGTTCCCTCCTCGCCCTCCCTCCCTCCTCTCAGCCTCATCACCGTCTTCTCCGTGCTTGTTGCCATCGTCTGACTTAAGGCTCTCCTCTTCTAGCCCAGAAAATTGTAGTGGCTGCCTGAATGGCTTCCCTGTCCCCTGCTTTGTTCTCCAGATCCATGCCAACAAGGCCACCGCTAGACCCTACGTGCCTTTGTGCAAATTAGAAAAAGATGCCCCTTCCTCAAGACACTGTAATATCCTGATTTCATTAGGACAAGACTCTTTACTGCCATCTGCTGGAAATGCTCATAATAAATCTACAGTTCTTCGAGGTCCACTGTGTGAATGGTACTCTCCTGAATGTGTGTCCTTCTGTAGTGTATAACCCGCACAATCACACATGTGGCCCTGGCTGCCAAAGTGATATTTTCAAAACACAAATGTAATAAATGAAAATCATTAGATAAAAAAACGCTTGGTGTTAAATGGATAGATCCAATTGTCTGGAAATGATGCGTAAATGATGGGTTTCTAAGTTACATAATGATTTCATGAGGTACCTTGAAATTCAACCCTGTTTTAAGACCCATTTGTCCTTTCAATTAAAAACATATTACAAGCCCGGCCGGGCGTGGCTCAGCGGTTGAGTGTCGACCTAGGATCCAGGCGATCGGGGTTCGATTCCCGGTCAGGGCACATGCCCAGGTTGTGGGCTCGATCAATAACTCTCTCATCATTGATGTATCTCTCTCTCTCTCTCTC